AAATATTATCCTCGTTATAAACATCGAGAATCCTTTCTTCGCATGCTACTAAATCTTTTTTTTGAGCTAGTAAAATTTATCTAATTCATTTTTAACAAAGCTTCTCCCAAACATTACCTTGTTTATTGCTGCAGCATACGGTCGCACCTTGGATCAAGAAATTTTGTCAATGCAATATGTTTGCTTAACCGATGTTTATAATTATATTATTTTCATTATTTATATAATGAAATTTTCTACTGCTAGTAGATGGATTTAGTAATGAGTTTTGTAATAGGTTTGCATCTAAAAAGATGGCTATACTACATACCTCCCTTGCGCAAAAAAAAATCAAACTTTTAATTCATTACCACCAGGCAATTGCGGTAAACCAAAGGCCTCTTTTTTTTCATTTAATGTCATAAAATTTGCATTTTCGATATACCTCCACAGTTTTTGCCTCTCTTTTGGAAGAGCTTCCATTGCACCTTTATCATACGATAAGCAGAAATCTTGAACAAATTTCGGTACTAGCAAAGAATTAAGGTGACAATAATGTTTTCTGATATAGGCAAAACTGCCTGCTCCTATATGGATAATCGTGCTTCAACTAAATTGCTATAAGTGTCGTCATCAGGTATGCCAAGCAATTGCGGTGACACCCAAAAAGACGGAATAATATCACGTGCCGAAGTCTGTTTAGAGTCAAAATCCATATCTCTCGGCGATAAACTTATTTCTTTCCAATCTAAGTTTCAGCATTATTGGCCTATCAGCATTGTTTTTCCATGGATAATTCAACTCCATCCGGACCAGAACAAGTTCTGTTGGTGGTTTTTGTTGTTGTGAGGCTTAATCATCAACATATAGTCATTTCCACTGATGAGTCGATAAGTGCAACTCCTTTAATAAATTCTGATTTAGATGTGATTGGGTTAGGAGAATAAGGTAATTATGATGATGGATGAGTTTTTAAGTGTGATTTTCACGACTAGTAAGTTGATAGATAATAAAAGGTGCTGAGGATGCGGTACTTGCGATCATATTTACCGCGCGAAAAGCAATAACGTTTTTAATGCAAACTTCTTCAGTAAAACCTGCATGGTCACGCTTGCTCTAACTAGATTCCATCATTAGCTATGGAATGAAATATTGGTTAAGTACTTGTTTTTCTTTTTTTTGGAAATATTGAATTCATATGCGGCTCCATAAAAATGGAGGTAAAAATTAGACCTCTTGAGAAAGGGGATATATTATTAGATAATTTAACTGAAAGTAAAAAGATGGTAGAATGGTTAATATCTAATCAGCTTGTTGATTATAATGATGCTGTGAAATTCATGGAAGAGAGAATTAAATTAATTCATGATGATCTAGAAGATGAGCTGGTGTGGTTACTTGAGC